ATGTATTTTCGTCCTCCCCCCATTCACGCTGGTTAGAGGCCGGATGGTATCATTATACCGTGGGGAAAAAGGGAACCTAGGAACACACTCTCCAGTCGGTGAGTTGCACCAAGAGGAACAACAGGTAGTGTCCTGAAAGGATACATGCCTAAAGTTCCTGTGTCACTGATGATCGTGGTTCGGAAGCGCTCCAGCGGAAGGAAGCTCCACGTTAAATTGTAGGTAGGGCCCGTCCTGGTTAGACCTAGTAGTCAGAACAGAGAGGACGAAAATGAATGAAACAAACAAAAATTAAACAAACGTCACTGGAATCTACATAGGAGGATCTATGAGAACTAGTTGTCAACTTTTCGATCACTTATGAGAGAGCTGAGATACAAGGGGTACCTATTCCAAATAAAACATTTTCAGAAGAAAAAAACACCTTGTATCTGAGCGTATGGCATCTTTCTAGCTCCAATAGCAATCAAGTTATCCCTTATTCTTCTTCTTCTTCCAATGCGTATTCACTAATGGATATTTGCGATAACATGTTCCATTGCTTCTCTATTCCTTGCGGTGTGTATTAACGACTGCACATCAAGTAGCCCTGTCCACTGTCTGATATTTTGCAGCCAAGATATTTTCTTTCTTCCGATCCCTCTCCGGTCTTCGATCTTGCTTTCGATCAACAGTTGCAAGAATTTATCCAAACTGGGACACCCTGTACACTGGAAATAAATAAGGCCTGTAGTAACCTCGATAAGCTAACATCTCCTGACACCAACGTCAAAAACATAGTCACATACAGTTCAGAGGTCAGGTCACCAAAGGAGAGAACCTTGAAAATGCTGAAAGCAACTACTGAAATGGACTTTTGGAGGTGAAGGACCGGCAGACCAAAGTGGAGAAAAACAAACCAGAAAACTGGAGAAATTATGAACGTATTACACACAATAGTAGATGGTGTTAAAGCGGAAAAAAAGTCGGGCAAGTGGAAACGACGGGGAAATGAGAGACAGAGACTTGGTGGAAGATGTCGAATAGATCGTCGCACAAGGATTCATTAAGCTTTGTTCCAAGTCATAAGAACTGGAGTGACGGATGCAATCAAGATAGTGCCCTAACCTGCGGATTGAACATGAGCCAACGAAGGACCCAGTCAAATAAGTTTTGTGCTGAGTCCCAATAGAGCGTTGGTAGCAGGCCTGTAGTTGTCATATCTTTCTAGCAGCCCCTGCGCTGGGTTGGACATCAGAGCCTGAGAGAGGTTGGAGATCGGGAATCAGACGGAATAAATAGAACGTTGAATATACATACTATACAGTGAGGACATAAAGTCCGTCGCCCCCCTTCTAACTTTTGAACCGCTCGGTATATTGCAACGAAATTTGGAATGATGATATGTGAGCAAATTTTCCATTTTTTGAAATGCAAATGACAGCTTCAGTTGTCAAAGTGACAGCTGGGCGGAGTTTTGAAACGTTTTTTTAAATAGAAGGCGGTGTCGAGTGATATATCGTTTTGAAGATCTCTTTATTCTTAATTTAATCCTCGATTCTGGAAACATTTGGTTTAGCGGTTTTCAAATGATGACGAAAAAACAAAGGCTTGTTTTGCTCATAAACACTCATAAGAAAAAAAATTAAAAAAAAATGTATCGGTTTTTTACTCATTATTGTTTTTTTTAGTAATAAATAATGACGTAATGACATTGGTAACTTGAAAAATAACAATAGTATTCATAAAATAATTATTCAATTACTAAAAAAAAAAAAAATATGACCAGAACAAGCCTTTTTTGTTTCGCCATCATTTGGAAACCACTTAACCAAATGTTTTCAGAATCGGGGATTAAGTTAAGAATAAAGAGATCTTCAAAACGATATATCACTCGACACCGCCTTCTATTTAAAAAAATGTTACAAAACTGCGCTCAGCTGTCACTTTGACAGCTGAAGCTGTCATTTGCATTTCAAAAAATGAAAAATTTGCTCACATATCATCATTCCAAATTTCGTTGCAATATACCGAGCGGTTCAAAAGTTAGAGGGGGGGCGACGGACTTTATGTCCTCACTGTATGTATCTATACTAATATAATAAAGCTGAGCAGTTTATTTGATTGAACGCGCTTATCTCTGTAACTATAGGATTTTCACGCTATATTTAGGATGACGTCACATTTAGTAAATTTGTGCTGCAAATCTAACAAAACTAAAAGTACTTCTTAACGCATTTAAAGTAGGGGAATTTCAGATGTTTCTGGTTGGCAACGGCGCGCGATGTTGCATGATTTAAATCATAGTTAAATGAACATTTTCAAATAAATAACGCGTGTCGATTCATTTCATTATTTTTAGCTGTCAGTGGTCTTGATAATTCATTATGACATTCTGGTAAATTATAAGAAAACAAATAGGCATTGACAACATTGTCAGTCCTTGTTCTCTGACGTCATCCTAAATATAACGTAAAAAACCTATAGCAGTCGGATTTGAGAAAAAATCTAATGGTATTTGATAGGTTAGCACAATTCTTGAGGTAGGTTATAGGCTTTTTACCGTGACACTAAGCAGTGGCGGCTGGCCCTAAAGGGCCAAGGGGCCGTGGCACTGGCGCAAAATAATATGTCGGTCCTTTTTAAAAAAAAATTTTTTTTTTAGTTCAATAGTTATTCAATCGTCAGATCATTTTATAATTTAATCCCGACGGAAAATTTTCTGTCGTTATTATTCCTAAATTTCCTAGACAATAATTTAAGCGACTGACTAAACTAAACTCGCTGGACTATCCGTCCGAGCCCATCTCACAACGGCCCCGTTGCAACACGGCAATTACGTTGGAAAAAGTCACGCCGCGCTTCCAGTAACCAGCTGTTTTTATACGTATAAACGGGGCCACCTGATCGAACGGCCCGGATTAGTTTTTACGGCAATTTAATTTGAGAGTCGGTTCGCGGACATTGTGCGTATTTTTCAGCGGCCGGCGTCGCGGCATCTTTGTCGGCATATTTCTTTGAAGCGCTTGTCGCTTGCCGCACCGCACAGGTCAGTTTGGTCTGGAAAGACAGTGCAGTAGATATTTTTTATAAGTTTGATTCCTATTTGATTTGTATCGTGCCTTATGTTTTATTTTATTAACACACTTATATTAGCTTCACCTGTATGTCTGGATCAGTCTGTACAAGTCTGGATAAATCTTGATAAAGCCTGGAAAAGTCTGGAAAATATCTGGAAAAGTCTGGAAATCTCTGGAAACGTCTGTAAAATTCTGCCAAAGGTCCCAAAAGACCTAGGGAACATTTTCCAGAATCCGGATCAGTCTGTACAAGTCTGGATAAGGTCTGGATAAATCTGGATAAAGTCTGTAAAATTCTGGATAAGTCTGGATATTGTCTTTCTGGAAAATGTCCGAAAAGACCTGGGGATCATTTTCCAGAATCCGGATCAGTCTGAAAAAGACTGGATAAAGTCTGGATTAATCTGGATGAAGTCTGGAAAACCCTGGAAAGCTCTGAATAATGTCTGGAAATCTCTGGAAACGCCTGGAAAGCTTTGGATAAGTCTGGATAATGTCTGGAAATCTCTGGAAACGCCTGGAAAAGGCCTGGAAATTTCTTGAAAGGGTCGGAAAAATTCTGGAAAAGGTCCCAAAAGACCTGGGGATCATTTTCCAGAATCCGGATCATTCTGAACAAGTCTGGATAAAGTCTGGATTAATCTGGATAAAGTCTGGAAAACCCTGAAAAGCTCTGGATAAGTCTGGATAATGTCTGGAAATCACTGGAAACGCCTGGAAAAGGCCTGGGAATTTCTTGAAAGGGTCAAAAAAATTCTGGAAAAGGTTCCAAAAGACCTGGGGATCATTTTCCAGAATCCGGATGTCTGTACAAGTCTGTTTGTGTTCCACATTTCTCATACGTTGAGCACCCCACGCTTTTTTCGCAATAATTCTAATATTTTTTGTTCGTTAATATTTTCTGTTTATATTAAAAATTATTTTCCACTTTTTAGTACAATTTACTATAAAAGCGTGTTTTTCAGTTTTTTTTTTGAACCATTTAAAAAACTGTTTTAATAAATTTCTCTTATTCCGCCCGTGCTTCATAAGTAAAATGCCGAACACCAAAGGAATTTAATTTTTTTTACTGTCTCATTTGACTATCGATAGACAGTCAACGTTGACTCCAGAAATATCTTATTGGTTAGATTTTTTAGCGGCGTTCCTGGCGCCATAGGGCGGCATCTCTGGCGCCATAGGGCGGCATATTTCTTTGAAGCGCCTGCCGCAAAGAAATCAGTTTTGTCTGGAAAGACAGTGCAGTAGATATTTTTTATAAATTTGATTCCTATTTGATTTGTATGGTGCCTTATGTTTTATTTTATATAAAACTATTTTAATAAATTTCTCGTACTCCGCCTGTGCTTCATTTATTATTTTGTAGAAATGATAAATGCCCACGTTTGAATTGAGAATAAGTGAAAAAACTTTCCGAGGCGTGGTTTTTTTTACAACTTTTAGATCAAAATTTGGGTTAATTTGGGTCAGTCCAAAAAAATTTGCGCGCCTCTGGGGCTTCCCCCCTGAGTGTGTGCACCGCCAACTTTTCCTCTCACCAGCCGCCACTGACACTAAGACCGGCGGCCTACTTACAAATTCACGACCGGTTTTAGTTATTGCTTCATTGAAAAATCACAAATCTATTTGTTATGTTTTAACAGTTATTCGAACAAGAAAACTTCGAAATTTGATTTTATATTCTAGAGCTGTAAGCGACAATGCAATTCTGTGGGAATTAGGAATCAGATATTTGTAATTCATTTCGATATAAGCGTATCTATCATACTTTGTGTCATATTTTGAATTACCAAACTGAAATTCATCCGAATTTTTCGCGTAATCGAAATAGGTATTTTCATTGCGCATTTAGCTTAAATGATTGACTAACCTTGTATTTGAGGTGTGTTTTATATACTTATCAGATTTAAAATAATATATGAATGCTTTTCTTATTTGTAGGTAAATTTCGTCAAGAGTTTAAATCGGCATTTTTCCAATGCAGTCAATCCAACAAGACTGATAGAAACCTCTCCAGGACAAGCACCTACATCTACCGCTACAGCACGACAAATAGAAGACGCAGTTCTAAATCAAAAACAGAGACTATACCATTAGCTGCAATTAAACATTAAGTATAATATTATATTGTCCCTGCCATGAATGTGAGGCTGCAGATTTATTGGATTTTGGGACAGTTAAAATAAATTATTTTGTCTCCTGCGCAACGTTTCGCCTTTATTTTATTATTGATACACTCATCAAAATAGTCTAGGGAACAAGAAATATCTGTCTTTTAATTTTAAGACAAAACAACTTTTTTTAAAGATAAAGTGAGTATTATTTATTAAATAAATCTTATCAAATTTACCATATCGGCTTTTTTTGCAAGCTCGTTTAGTTTAAATATTTTATAAATAAAATCAGCACAAAATTTCTGGATAAGTATAGGTACTGTTTTGTTCCCTAGACCATTTTGATGTGTGTATGTACAATTATTTCTTTTCGTTTTGTGCTGAAATTTCCAATTTCAATTTTATCGTTTTCCAATATTTTGTACAAAATAGATATATCTCGAGTGTAAATATTTAGCACATATTTTAATGTTTTTTTACGAAAATGTGGGTTTCAATTATCGATTGATGAAAGATTTTATTTGAGCAATAAGACTTAGGTACTCAAATAACTGTATTCCTTGTGAACCAAAATGATGTTTGCCGAAATGCTTTAAAATTTGGGCATACATCAGGCAAAAAATTGATGAAGAAATAACTTTCTGAACCTGAACGATCGTTCCAGAATTGACCGTGAATGATCATGAAATCTTGCTACTTTTCGGAAAAATACAAAAAGAAAACCGTCTATTGTGATAATATTGCCTCTTGCACATGCAGGTAGTGTAACCTGCCTACGAGCAACCAGCTCTGTTTTAATATTCAATAATTTTAAAGTTTTGAGTTCGACTTGGTTGTTACAATTCCCGACTTTTTTGCATACGATGTTATATAAAGACAAAATTTCGCACAGAAGATATTAGTAATTATTGTTGTGTTTTACTCTCCCAAAATCCTAAAACTCTGCAAATGTAAATTGAATACCGTATAATGTTATTCCTGATTGTCCCACAGTTTATAAGCATTTCCCTGTGTGAAATTCCTTTAAGTATTCAAGATCTGAAGTATTCTGAAATGTATTTTAATTATTATAACGCCAAAGTTGTGGTTACAAACAAATAAAATATCGATGTAAAAAGTTGTATTCCAATTATACCTATCGATGGCAGTTGTCTTTTTATTTATTATTATTAATTCTTGTTTGTATGGAAAAATCAATTGATCTACATAGGTACAGGGTGAGTCACTATATTTTGATACCCACCTGCAGCCGTAATTACAGGTGATAGGTAAAAAGTGTAAATACAAAAGTTGTAGCTTTTTATCTGAACTGCCAGAATTTTTAATTAGATGGAACAAATGAGCAAGACAAAGTGGAAAAATATGTCAATGTTCACTTTTTTTAAATGGAATGCACTTTATTTTCTTTCAAATTCTTAAAGTTCTCGTTTTTCTGATTCAGATTATATAATATGTTGATATTTCTTCCAATAATTTAAGAAATATCTGGAGTTTAGTTATTCAAAGATCTATTCACGTAACACAATGTTTTGCGACAGGTTACAGGTAAATCAATGTGAAATTTATTTAAAAAACTACTCTCTTTGAATAACTAAACTCCAGATATTTCCAAAACTATCGAAAGAAACACTAACATATTATATAATCGGAATCAGAAAAACGAGAACTTTAAGAATTTGAAAGAAAATAAAGGGCATTCCATTTGAAAAAAGTGAACATTGACATATTTTTTGTACAATCTAATTGAAAATTCTGGCGGTTCAGATGAAATACTACAGCTTTTGTATTTACACCGTTCACCTATCACCTGTAATTACGGCTGTAGGTGGGTGTCAAAATATGGTGACTCACCCTGTACATAAATTACCAAAAATAAAAATTGCCTATCATTGACTTGAAAGTTGTGCTTTAATTTTGTATGTACCCTGTCTTTAAAATTTTTAATTGTATAATTTAAATAGTTTATAAACCTTCTTATTTTTCAAATCTTTCTTTAATCCAGTAAAATAATCTTCATACTGTTCCTGTTGCATCTGTTCTGAAAATCTCTTGGTCCTATTCAATTCCCTTCTAGCTTTCTCCATGTATATTGGATTTTCTAAAATTGCATTCGGCAATCTGGGAATTTTCTTAATGTGTCTTGTGATGATTTTTTCCGGTTTTCTGTTAGGCTTGACAACTTTAATTTTGAAAGTGATTCTTTTCAGGTTTTTTAATTTGGTGATTTGTAATGGTATGGAATTCATGTTGGAAGTATGATATGTGCGCTGAAAAAAAAAAAATACGATGACATAAGAAAGCGACAAATCCCGTCAGCATCATGTCAAAGTCAAAAAGAATATCGACTTTTTCAGGGAAAAATAACGATTTCGAATTTCCGCGTTGCCAGTCTCTGCGATCGGAAAGGAAGCGCATTTCGAGTAGATTGCGTGAGATATACAATTCTCTTTTGCAGTTCTCGTGCATTAACAAATAGCCGAGTATGAAAATTTCGTTCAATGTACGGATGTATCCATAATCTACGTTGTGTTCTACTTTTCATCCGCCGATAGCACAGAAACATAAGAATGTCTTCCTCATTCACTACTGGAACTGCTCATTTTTGAATAAAATAGCACGCCAGAAGATACGAGAGGAGAAAAAAAAAGCTAGCCACACTGATCATCCCATCTCGATGATAAATGTTGTACTGGCCTTACAGAGCAGTATCCTTTCAAAAGGACGATAGAGGTATTTCGATTCGAAGTGGTTGGCCGACTGCAGCTCAATTTAATTTACAAGTACAAAATTTATAATGAGTCAGAGATAAAAAAAGGATAAATAGGAATTTAAATTTCCCTTTTTTTTTTCATACAATTTTATGCTGGTCTAACTCGGTTTATTTTAGACAAAAAGATTTATAATACAAAATATAAGAAATTCAATTTTCTTACATTTTGTCATTTTACATTTTGTTGTTGCGGAGGACTGATTAACAAAAAAAAATTTTTTTTTGCATGTTTTTATCCAAATTGTGGATTCACGTATCCACCGCATGTAATGGCGAATGCTTCGCCATATATTATTAGTCGAAAATTTTTGTCCCTGCCCCTGAGTGGCATATACTGTTTTTCCTTGGTTTTAACACATTTTCATAAATTTTAGAATAAAACCTCAAGAGCCTAATAAACCCGAAACATCATATTCATCAACTACTTTCAGAGAGACAACCGAAATAAAAATATTAGGTGGAGTTTTATCAAAGGGAAAGATAAAGAACTGAAAAGTATATAACACCACTTTATTTTGTTTTTTTAGAGCTTGCCTTTGGAGCTTTAAGGAAAGCAATTATAATATTGGGTTACAGTAAATAATATTTTATTGATGTGTTTACAAAAGGAAAGGAAATATATACCTTTTTGGCTGATAGTTTTTAGAAAGTATCAGGCTACAAACTGTTTAAAATTTATGAAACTTCAGTGTACCTACATAAGCCTATCCATGTTTTTTTTTTTTAAAGTGATTGGTCATGTTTCTGTTGAGCAAAAAAATCTAGGCTAGGGATTTCACATATATTATAGGTCTGAACCTAAATGGGTTTTAAATGTGCGGAAATTGGCTATACAACGATGAAAAAAATATGCAACCTGAACTAGGTACTTGATGAAGATCTGAGAAGTCTAACCCCTTTTGTCAATTGCTGTGCAGTGAAGTGCACTTTACCGCACTTACTTGCAAGTGGAAAGTAGTACTTTACCGCACACTATGCTGTTAAGTTACTTAATCTACGTCGGTGTCATTATGACATATTTAGCATTGTCATTTGAATGTCATTAGGTCCTTCATAATAGCACTAGTGCGTTTAAGAATTCATAAAAACACCCAAATTATAAAATGAAAAATATACAAAAAGAAAGCTAGTTATCAGAAGAACCTTTTCACTGATGCTGTCTCGATATTCGAACGGACACTTTTGAACTCAGAATCACCAATTCTTAACATTATTTTCCACTATAAAACTGAATTTATGGCACCAAAATTGACTCCAATATTGAAGCTGCCAAAGTCAAAATTCTAAAAATCAACAAGCAGGTTTCCGACTAGTAAGGGCACCTGCTAAATTTTGAATTTTAATTTGAAAAGTATTTGCTATTTCAAGGCAAATAAAATCTATTTGGACCATCGTAGATTAAATTTTAAATGATAGACGTTCGATATGAACACCATAATGAAACTCGTGTAACTAAACCACTCGGCTAACGCCTCGTGGTTTAACATTACACGCGTTTCATTATGGTGTTCATATCGAACTAGTATCATCAATAACTATTATCTACAAGCGTGCGGTAACTAAGGTATATTATACGATTTTGCGTGCGGTAAGTACCATATTACCGGGTAATTTTATTACCGCACTCTGTATAAAATAATGACAAAATATATATTTTATTTTCTTTATTATACAAATAACAACAAATTAATAACTAACTTAAGACGCTTTGCCCTAAAAATGATATTATAAAAAATTATTTTTTAATTTTTATGATAATTGACGAATTTGTCATATTTTTAATTTTTAAACATGGAACTTCACCAGCATTTGTAAAAACTGATGTCACTGATTGTGAGCAGCTTTCCTCCACCACAGCTTCAGTGACTTTTCGGCAGCTTCCTTGCTGAACCTGAACCGTATTGTGGGTAGATCCAGTGATCTTTTTTGCAATTTCCATCTTGTTTTGTACTGACTCTTCCACATATCCTTCTGCTACGCTAGACGACTTCCAGCCACCGTGACGCTTTAGGGTCATAAGGTCCCCCCCTGCATCTGCCAACAGGGTGGCCGACGACCGTCTGAAACAGTGGCCGGTGTACATGTCGGGATTTGGCAAGTGCAAAAAAGATGCAATTTGACACGGCATTTTTCCTATAGAATTTATCCCAACTACTTGTGTAATACACTTGCCTTTTTTATAATTTAAAAAGAGTCTTCGAGTTGTCACCTGTGGGGGCCTCAAGTCCAG